ACCCCCCCCCCCCTCCCAATGGGTACACCTGGTTTGCAACCTATATCTTTTATTTGTTTTTGTGTTTTTTCTAGTTAATTGTTGAAGGAAAGATGCTTCATGGTATTGCATGCGAATGTGTATGCTTTCTTACACAGCTCTCACATTTGATTGAGTTTTAGGCAGTTTACATGCATCGAAGCAAAGGTGCTTGTGATTCTATTTGTAACATGACTTGCCTGAAACTATGTAGGTCATACGCGATGTGAAAATCCTCTAAGTTCTAGCTGAAATTTTATGAAACTTTTCTCTATTTCCTTGTATGCACCGCTGTTTATTAAGTTGTAAATATTTTGGCCTCCAGGGGGGACATTTCTCTGGCATATATCGGAAGGTTCAACTCAAGCCATTAAAGTGGGTCAAAGTTGGAAAAAGTAACGGTGAAGGTGAAGAAGAACGACCTGTTGAAGCCCTAATGGTTCTTAAATATGGTGGTGTTCTTACGCATGCTGGCAGAAAGCAGGTGTTTAATTTTGCGGAATGCGTATGACTGTATTTTCACCTGTTTTGCATTTACGCTCAGAATTATGTTTATCGTCTCTGGAAATTTGTCAGTGTAGTACATGTTGGGTACTGAATATCATGTAACATTAATCCTTTCATTGTGTCTATCCCACCTTAAATCTGCTTGCCCTCCTTCCTTTTTTGGCAGGCTGAAGAACTGGGCAGATATTTTCGAAACAATATGTATCCAGGTTAATATTTTTCACTTTTGACTTCTATGAATGATCGGTTTCCTCTGGTGTGGTAACATCCATTCTTTCAAGAAGAAGATAGATTATCTTTTAGATTATTGTTAGAGAACATAAATCTTTATGCTTGAAAGAGGTCTAAGAAAAGGTTGGAATGATTTGGTGAAGGAAGCTAACTTGAAGTTTGTTTCTCCTCCTTCTGATTTAACATAAATATCAGGGTCATCGTGGGTCATTGTATTACCTGGATATTGTCTTTTTTCTCTCCCATCTAATGGGTCTCGGTCTGAGTATGGATTATTGATCCTAAATATGTTCTGTCATGTGCTGGGCCCCTTGAATGGGGCATTGGACTCTGATTTTCCATGTAAAGAAAGATAAGAAAAGCTGCTGATTATTATTTAATTTTTTTCCAGCAGTAACATGATTATTTTGAATAGACATTTGGTTCATACAATGCATCTGCAATGTGACAAGAAGTTGGAGTAATTTTCACGATTCGCTAGCAGCATGGATTACTCTATGAAAACAGATTTTGGTAAAGTAGTTTTGTTGATATGGAGTATGCTTAGATTTGTTTCGGAATAGTTGGGATTTTTTTTTGTCATTGCACATATTCAGACAAAAAGAGATAGCAAGGAGATTTTTGGGGCTGAAAGCAATTGATGAGAAATAAATTCATGACAAGAAGCAGCTGACTTTTCCAAAGCCTGGATTCTACGAGTTTGGTGTAGTGCTAGCATAGATCTGTATGACTTACAGGAACTTTCTTGTTGAAGAAGCACATTTTTTGTCCTTAAATTTTTTTTGGCGGGGAGGATACCTTTTTCTAAGTTGCTCCTTTTTGGGGTTGTTTTTATATCTAAATATTTGGTTTCATCGTGAGTCCATAGAACATAGTGATATGGCATACTTATTTGTATGTAGTAAGCATAAGTAAGCAGTATAGTACTTCCACTGGTCTTCTTGCTCATCTTTATCGAACATGTTATAGGTTGAACATGTTAATGTCTTCCCTATCCTGAAAAATTTTCAAAGCCCCACTTTTTTAAGTGGTGGTTTTTCACTTCGAGATAACGTGAAAAAGTTCCCCAGCTTCTGTAATTCCTTTCTGTAGGACCAAAAATTTGTTCTCATGGTGATTTAGTTGCTAATTTTCTTATGGTTGCTTGTTCTCTTTGGTTTTGGTTTTCAATCTCAGGCGAAGGTACCGGCCTGCTTCGCCTCCACAGCACATATCGTCATGATCTTAAAATATACAGCTCGGATGAGGGTCGCGTACAGGTATAGCCCTGGTGTATACGTTGGTGTATTTAGTTTATTGTTCAAGTTCAGTTCTGTATTCTTCAAAATTTTAGAATCTTTAGATCCTGTAATGTTGTTTCCCTGTTTTCCCGTTTTATATGTTCAATTGCCCATCATGTTAGTAACCTTTGAATTTGGGTTGCTTATGAACTTGGTTGTTCATTTAATATCTGTTAACAGATGTCTGCAGCTGCATTTGCCAAGGGCCTCCTGGATTTGGAAGGACAATTAACACCAATCCTGGTTTGTATCTTTGTTTTCCCGAAGGATTTCCATCTGCTTGTTCTCTTGGACTTTATACGACCGACATGACTGAGATGGTCAATTTTTAAAGGTTTCACTGGTTAGCAAGGACTCTTCTATGTTGGATGGACTTGACAATGCCAGTATTGAGATGGAAGAAGCAAAGGTTTTTTGGTTCCTCTACCTGCGTTCCACTATTATTTGTTTATATAAAGAGTCAAAAATCAAATCCTAAATTGGTTGAAGCTATGATATGCCCACAAACTTTAATACGATCGCAATTTGATTATAATACGCTAAAAGCATAAGGATGAAAACATATTTGTAACCAATCTAAGGGTGACTTTAATTGGGTTCGAATCTGATTGGTAGTAGATATTAGGAAGGTATGATATGCTGAAAACCTTGACTAAGATCACAAATTGAGTAGAGCGTGCCTTGTGGCAGCCCATTTTTTTGGTCCATTACTACTATTATCCAAATACTCCTGCAGGAAAACTTAATCATTTTACTATCCTAGCCTTAATGCTTTATTAAACACAATAAAATATTAAATACATTCTCAATTCCACTCCCTCGTGTTCTAGTTTTTTTGTCTTGGAGTTGAGCCAAATCCTAGTCTCGTGTCGTTGGAATATTTTTTTTTAATGCAACATTGTATTATTGGATCACAATATTACCATGGGCCTTTTTAGGTGTGCTGGAAGTTGTCAGACAGTACATGTTTCTGGTATTAGTGAAGAATTTCAATGCATCTCTAAGTTATTCTAACATTTCTTTCTGGTCAGGCTAGGTTGAGTGAGATAATAGTTTCTGGAGCAAAGTTATTTAGCAACAGACCATCTGGAAAACCTTGGATGGTCGATGGGGCTGGACTTGCGTCAAATGCTTCTGATCTTCTACAAAAATTGGTAAAAGTCTCTATGGATTGCCTACTAAGTTGTGGAAATCACAATTCTTAATTGTGAGGGTCACTGTGCTTTTTACACTAATTATTAATTAATATGAGTTGACAACACGCACTATTCTTTATATTTATGCTCTACCTAGATACTGTTCCCATTTCTCAATTGGTTTGCTTCAAATACCGAGATTTCAACAGAAATTTTAGGCCTAGCATATATATAAGCAGTCCTTGTTTTTACTTATCAAAAAAGAAAGAAAAAGTAAAGGAGGTCTTTATTTTTGTTAACCTTTTTAGTTATGTTTCTAACTTTGTATATGTTTCAAATAGGTCAAATTGACTAAGAAGGTTACTGAACAAGTGAAACTGCTTGCTAAGGATGAGTATGAGCAACTTGCAGAGACAGGCTCATATAATGTAATTCTTCCATATGATCAAGCAAAGGCACTTGGGAAGACAAATATCGATGTAGATCGTATTGCTGCCGGATTACCTTGTGGTAGTGAGGGATTCCTTCTGATGTATGCTCGGTGGAGAAAACTTGAGAGGGACTTGTATAATGAAAGGAAAGAGTAAGTATATATCAGACACTGAGCATTTCTGAAGATTAGAAACTAACCAGTGAGCATTTTGCTTGCTTCTGACAATTTTTCGCAAAATTCAAATTGATTTTGATCACGAAAGATTTAATTGTTAAAACCAATGTTATAGTCGCTAAATGTGATGGAATTTTCATTATTGACAAGCAGTTTCACAACATTCTTGATTTATTTGCAGACGTTTTGACATAACACAAATTCCAGATGTTTATGACTCATGCAAGTAAGTAAGATACCAACCATTGTATTAAATGCATGGTTCGTGGAAAAATATCATGTCTGTAACAAAGTGTCCCATCGTCCTTTCTAGACTACTATAATTGTGTTGCCAAATCCAAAGATTTTATTGCATAATTACCCTCCTGATGGAGATTCAAAGATGAATATTGACACCAAATAGAATTCTTATGGGGGAATGATGTTGTAATGATCCTTGTGGTCTGATCTTAGTTTGTTCGAGTGGGTGCATTTTTCATTTGATTTTTTCTGGGGGTGCTATTTTTTGTGGGTAAATGTGCTTTTGGTTTATTTTTTAAGGTAGCTTGTTTTTGGTTGGTTTGGTTCCTAGATGCATCACAGTATACAGTTTCTCTGGAACATAGTTGGGTTAGTATGTCCATGCATATGGAGGATAACATATGTACCATTGGATGCAGTAAAGTTTTACTTGGTCANAGATGCATCACAGTATACAGTTTCTCTGGAACATAGTTGGGTTAGTATGTCCATGCACATGGAGGATAACATATGTACCATTGGATGCAGTAAAGTTTTACTTGGTCAGCTGTTTCATTTTGTTATATCTTGCGCAGTGAACTTGAAAGTGGCTTACATTGTTCAATACTTCCATCTGCAGATGCTGATTAAGTAAAAGATATAAGACGTATCTGGTGTCTATTCTGTTGCATTTCCTGGCCATGCTTGTAATATTTTTGGTTCTTCTGAACAGATATGATCTCTTGCACAATGCACATCTTAATCTAGAAGGGTTGGATGAACTCTTCAAAGTTGCTCAGGTACAACAACAAAAAAGAAATCCTATTGCCCTCCCTCCAATGCATAGTAACTTTGAATAACGCGTCCTTGTAAACTTTCCTGCAATAGAACTAAGATATAGTGGTCAGCAGCAGTGCATGCCTTTAGCTTTGCAAGTTCATTTTTTTTTGTATACGAGAATGTGTTCTACTTACCAAAAGCATGGAAACAAAAGTATAAAATTGATGGTAGTGGCTTTACCTTGAAGACACTGTCTCTGTTTTCCTAAGTAAAAACTCTGAAGCATAGTTAAAGTTCTGAAAAATAAGAACCTCAGGCTGCAAGGAACAGATTGCAGAGAGAAGAACCTGATGTTTGGTGCAGATGCCAGGACTACAGTTTGGCTGCCAGGACTACAGTTTGGCTCTGTGTTACTAGAAAATGCCGGGAGATCTAGCTGACAGTATTTTTATATTGGGAAAAATATGTGTACATAAACATATCATTCTTTAGTGTGTGTTATGGAGTTTATACCATGAAATTAAGTTGATTCCTCAAGAATTTATTGGTAAATAGAATTATTAACTCAATTACTATTACTTATTAAAGTGTATATAAATTATCAAGTTACACTATGTCATCGTCATATTGAGTCTGAATGCGCTGTTGTCTTTCAGTTACTTGCAGATGGTGTTATACCGAATGAGTATGGGATCAATCCAAAGCAGAAGCTAAAGATTGGCTCAAAGGTTAACTTCCTTTTGTAACATCTTAATTCAAGTTCTATTTTGAGTTATTTTTTTATGATTTATAATATGTCATAAAATCGTGCTAAAAAAGTATGGCTTTCAAGTGCATTCGAAATTGGTGACCCTTAAGATAAGATCTGAAAGCTAGCATATGGATGAATTTACCCAAAAAAGGCTTTTGTACCTACAGGGTCTTTTAAGCACTATGGGTCTTTCAAAATCTTGAACGGCTTACTAATATTATCAATGAATTGGACATGAAGTTTGTTATTGATTCTTATGATACTTTCCTATTGTAATTTGGTGTGTATGGGATGCAATAGTGGTAATGTATTCATTTCGTAGATTAATGTCGCATCTTCTCTTATAGATGCATACGTGCAGCAATGGCACACAAGTGCATTTATCTCACCTTGTTTTCTGGCATCTCAGATTGCTCGCCGTTTGTTGGGCAAAATTTTGATTGATCTGAGAAATACTCAGGAAGAAGCAATTAGTGTTGCCGAATTAAAGGGTAATCAAGACCAACACTCAACGTTCACCAAAACTGGGACAGAGGATACAGATTATCAGTCAAAGACTGTCACTAAGAATGAAGATGCAAGTGAAAAATCAATGGATCAGGATGATGATGATGATAAGGAGACCAAATACCGCTTGGATCCAAAGTAAATATATCATCCTTTTGCTATATCACATGCATTCTCAAATATTTCTTCATATGAACAAATCATCTTTTTTTTGTTTTGTTGGCTATACTAAATCCACTTATCTAGAAAACTTAAGGTAACATTAGAAGGCATCCTTGTTCTCAATTAAATTTTGTATTTCCTATTTTTTTTGGTATTTATTTTGGCTGGGTTTTATGTTGATAATTCCTAAGTTTTTGTCAGGTATGCTAATGTGAAGACACCAGAACGACATGTCCGGACGCGCCTTTACTTTACATCAGTGAGTATTTTTTGTCATCACTATGTTATTTTCAGCAAGTTTTATGTTACCATGTACTACATAAATTTCTGCTTCCAGCTCAATTTTGCCTAATCTCTCTTAAAAGATTAGATCAACATTTCAATACACGAGAGAAATCCAGAAATTAGCATTTAGCAGTAACAAGGTTATTTTAGGGACAGAATGCAGAATTTGATGTAGACATAAAGGACAAGTGTGGATGGGCATCTGGGTTGGGAACTGGGAATGTATATTTAAAAAATGCAACCTAGAGCTGCTTTGTTAACACTCATGTACCAACTTTGTGATACTAAATTCGGCTGCCTTCTGGTTGATCTTTACACGACTTCTGGTTTTCTGAATGTCATCACACAGGTAAGTATTATTTCATGCAGTGTACATAAGTTTGGATCAACGTAAAAGCTGTTTATTAGTTTTGCTTCATTGCGTTACTTTACAATTAATTTAACCCAAAATTGTTGACTTAGTTATTTGTGTACATAATGGCTTGTAATGTTCCCTCTCTAAAATATGTCCTTTCTGTATGTTTCTATCGTTGCCTTGATGTTCAATTCTGCTAATATTTATGAAAAAATAATATCAAACCTGTCATTCCAAACTTGCCGAATATCGATTCAACTCAATCAAGCCTTGTCCCAACATAAATTCTCCGATCATAATGAATTTTTTTCATTTTGTATGACTCATGTACAAACAAGATTGGCTAGCACAGATGCCACTGAATGTACCATCTAAGCAACACACACACACACACTCACTCTTACTTGAGTCTACATGTCTGTACTTATGTGTTTGTGTGTCGCACCATTTTTTTCGTGCACGTATAGATTCATGCATGCTTGTTTGCATATCAAATTGTGGCTGTACTGCAGCAAATTATATCATATGATAGTCATCCACTCATTTTAACTGTGTTGTCATCCAACTGTTTCTAGACTCAATCCACTTACACCTTGAAGATGACCCTATCTTGCGAAACTGTTATAAATCATGTAGTTTCTTGACTCAGATGCGAAACTGACCAGCATCATTTTAAAAGTTCAGTACCTGAATAGAAAGGAAAGGATTTTAGTTTCAACCAGATTCACCAGGAATATCAAACACCCTCTTCTTTATGATTAGTCAATAAAAGCATGTCATTGTGGCATTACAATAGATCAGGAAGTGCCATGGACACTATTTTCTGGAGCACAAAGCCTATAAGTCTTGGTATGGTCGGGTAAGTTTTGCTCATTTGGTTGCCATGCTTTTGTGCAAGCATCTCAAGTTTTTGTGATTGATCTGAAGAACCTTGTGACACATGATTTCATGCGCACAGTGCAAAGAATCCAGCCACCAGATGGCGAATGGTGAGTTTGTCATGATGTACATGGAGAGGCTGGTTATTTGGTGCGAATGGGGAAATTATTTGTGGGGGTCTGAACCTGATGTCCCTTATGCAATAGTACTACTATATATGTACCCACAACCATTGCCTGCAGTTTTCCATCCAAGTGATGGCAACGTTACCATTTTATGTTAATCTAATTCTTCAACCAGAAAAATCATACCATGGTGATAAGTTGTTGTTCTGATTTTTCCATTTAAGATATACAAAACTTCAACCTATGCATATGATAGCAGGTACACATTGGTCAGAAAATTAAGATATCAAAATTTTATGGCAGTAAATTCTCCAAAGAAAGGAAGAAGAAATTTTATTATATTGTAGAGTTCCTGTGTGCCAGTGGTGAAGAGGCCATCTCCACAATAAAGCAATTTAACTACTGAAAATAAATGAACAGAATAAAATAAGTTATTCTACTCTTCTGTCTGTAAAAATATCCCAGGTGAATCTACTTTAAAAATTCCACTGACTAGCTTTGGTGTGAGGTCCCTTTCTCTGAATTCACAATTTGGCTTCATGCATATCAATTAACTGTAAGAGGTAAATTACATATATGGATTGTCATCCTTTGTTGGGGACCATAAAGTTCTTGACAAGTAAATACCACTCAACTATTCTTTGTCTTGTTTTTAAAGTTTCTTTTCACTTGTAATTTGGATATTTATGCTTATCACCAGTTTCATTTGTTTTCCTGTAATTTTTCTTTATGGTTATCATAATTCATCTTTATGCTTGCACACTGTCAGGAATCACATATACATTCCATGATGAATGTCCTCCGTTACTGCAACTTGGATGAATCTCTTCAAGGGGAGGCTAGCCTTGTTTGTGATAATTCTCTGGAGCGCTTGTTCAGAACCAAGGAGCTTGACTACATGAGTGGTATTGTGTTGAGGATGTTTGAGAACATAGAGGTTGGTATTTTTGCTTTGAGTTTGAAAAAGAAAAATGGATGCTGTATAATGCTTTCTTTAAATTTTCTCTTTGGATCTTCCGTTTATGTTGTTAGCTATAATTGGAGAATTGAACTTTTTCTTTCCTCGCGGAAGTGGTAAATTCACATTTTGCAGATTCACAATATATAGAATGGTATCACTTTTCGTGACAAATACAAGTAATGGACATACTGTTGGACAAGTATAAAAGCTATATCAGAGTGAAAAAGATGCTATTTTTCTATTTTGTTCTTTTTTATGTGTTGCTGTTTTATTTTTGTTTGGTGTTTTTTTTTGGGTTGGGGGGGNATAAAAGCTATATCAGAGTGAAAAAGATGCTATTTTTCTATTTTGTTCTTTTTTATGGGTTGCTGTTTTATTTTTGTTTGGTGTTTTTTTTTGGGTTGGGGGGGGGTTGGATTTGTGATTTTTGCAGCAATCCTATTTCTCTAACCTTAACCTTATTCAATGTAGATACTTACAATATGAAAACAGACAATGTGCTCTACTTTCTTTGTACTTTTTCAACCTGAAAATATGAGTTGTTTAGCTGCAAGTGCTGCTTTATCAAACACTTTGTTCTATTAAGGGTTGGGGGGAGATAGAGGTTGGCAACTTTTTTACCCATGCCCTTTCATTACTTGTGCCCCCCAGGAAAAACTCTCTAGATGAATAAATAAGATATGGCTTAACTACTTGCTGTGATATTTGGCATTGAGTTGTACATCCTATCCCAGGGGTTATAGAGATATTGCCAGCAACACAATACGTGGTTGGCTTTTCTAATTGGGTTAGATTCGTAAGTTAATTTAAGTGGTGGCATTGATGCAAAAGTGGTCATGTGCTCTTTATGTGGGAATTTCTTGGAGTGCTTTTCACCTGAAGGCTGAGAGGAATGTAAACAGAATATCAAAATGAAGAATGATGCTTTTGAGGCTCCAAAACCCTACTATACACACTGTCTATGTCATTTTGTTTAGAACTAGGATTATTTGCAAATAGTAACCACTTGGTTATACATACATATAGGATTAAATGGTCATTCTCAAGAATCGACAAATTTTCTTGATGATCTAAAATTTATATCCATTGCGTTATTTAGGTCCTTTATCAATGGTTATATATCTACAAAGCTATCTTGCCCAGCCTAATGAGTTTCTGAAATTGAATTCCAGGTGGCTTTAGAAGATCCAAAAAGGTTCCGCGTAGAGATGACTTTTAGTCGTGGTGCAGATTTGTCCCCGTTGGAGGTAATTCATCTTGAATTAAAACACCCTTAGCTCCCAGTGTTCGAGACACTGGCATTCATGACAGAAGATGGATCTTGATAAGCATTCTTATATGTGATACTCAAGAGTTATCATTTATCTAGGATAATTGAATCGGAGCAAATGCAACTGATTATCGATTATTTATTTAGGTTCTACCCGTCTTTCATTTTGCTTTGCAGAAGAACGACAGTGAGGCTGCTTCATTGCATCAGGAGCACACATTACCGATAATGGGTCCAGAGAGGCTGCAAGAAGTGGGGTCATATCTAACATTAGAGAAGATGGAGAAGATGATTCGCCCATTTGCCATGCCAGCAGAAGATTTCCCCCCACCATCAATCCCCCAGGGATTCTCAGGCTACTTCTCCAAAAGTGCAGCAGTGTTGGAACGCCTGGTAAATCTTTGGCCCTTCAACAAACATGGAGCTGCTAATGGGAAGTAATAAGTAACTTCACCTTTTTCTCTTCCTTTTTTGTCTTTTTTTTTTGCTTTTTGTGGCATTCATATCCTCGGCTGCTTGGACAAAGCAAAATGAGTTTTGAGGTTCTCTCAAGGAATTTTGGAGCAATTAACAAACTTAATTAGGATGAACAAAAAGAAATTGAGTGTTGAGGTCGCTTGGAGGAATTTTGGGACACATAGCAAATCTTAACAATAGGTAAATCTGGAGGAGAGCCATCCTGATGATGATGCTTTAACTCCAGAAAATCTTAACGCCAACCTCTTTTAGCATTCATTAGAAAGTGACCCTAGGACACTTTCAATTGTCCAATGTTCCAGATCGCTGTTGCTATTAATACAACTAGTTTCTATTTGATAATGCACGGACAGATGTGTTGCAATAAAAATACTGCTTTGTTTGGTAGGGTAGATGGAGTGATGAAAAGTATGAGCAATATACTCTGTCATTCAAGATAGAAACTCTATTATTATTATTATTATTTTGTTTGATAGGAATTATAGAAAATATGAAGAATTGATTTTTTTTGTAATTGGTATGGATAGAAAAGTGAAAGGAAGGAAGAAATATAGATGCATATTTTAACATCATGTCTATATATTGAATTAATGTGTACATGATATATAATAGATGAATAAGATATATCTATATAATAAAATAGTTTACAATTTAAATTTTAACAGATAAATAAAATGATTTTTGTTATTTGCGGTGGAGATCGTTTTAAATTTTACTTTAAAGTTAATTTAATGGTTAATATTAATATTCTAAATTTAATAATAAAAAAAAAGTCTTTAAGAGTGTATTTGAAGTTATTTTTTTAAATTATTTTTAGAAATTATTTTTTATATATACTTAAAAAAATAGAGTTTGAAAACGTTCCACCACTATCTCTACCATCGTTGCGATTGCCACCACCGCCTTCGCTCTCGCCATTTCCACTGTCACCGTCGCCGTTGCCACCACCACTGTAACCACCATTGTCATCGTCGTTGTCACCACCATCGCTGTCATCTCCACCACTGCTATCACTATTGTCGTCACCACCCCTACTGCCATCGCCACGCCCACCACCACCAGTGCCACTCCCAATTGCCTCCACTGCCACCATCATTGTTGTTGTCGTCGCCACCACCATCATCGTTGTTGTCGCCGCCACTACAGTTATTGTCACTCACCACAATCATCATCGTTTTTTACCACCACCATTGCTGCTCATCCCCTCTCACCCCTATTTTAAATTTTGTTATCACTTCTCTATGTTTGCGATTTTGATTTTGGATATGAATATAATATGTTTATTTTTTATTACTCTATGCCTTCAGGTACAAACAATAACTAGTTTATATATAAAATATCATATTTGATAAGAAAGAAAAATGAGAAGTATAAAAAAGTAGAAGAATTAACCTATCTTGTATCTTACTAAAAATTATTCTTCTTAGTTATGTGGGTTTAAATGTCTATTATTTATCTTTATATCTCTAATATATGCATATTAGTCATAACTCGTTCTTGAAAGTATGATGAAATATAAAATTTGAGTATCAAAAAATTAATCCTACTATATCAAATAACAAATTTTTATTTCTTTGTTTGTTTCATTGAATCATTTAAAATTAATTTTTACTTATTATTTTTAAAAAAATAGCGTTCAAATTTTCTCAAAATGTATAATTTGACAAAAATGCTTTCAACACGTGTACACTATTATGTACGGATAATGTATGAAATAAAAATTATGTTAAATTATAAATTAATTAAATGTTAAATGAATGAACATGTGATAAAATTGAATGATGTGATATTTTTAAAGAGGAAAATGTATTCATAAAAATTGTGTTAAATTATAAATTATTTAAATGTTAAATGATTGAATATATAATAGAATTGAATGATGTGATATTTTTAAGGGGAAAAATTTACGTGAGATAAACTTTCAAACTTCTATGTGCTTTATTATATAAATTTTTAATTTATCTATTACGTCTTATGTACACATCAATATGCATTTATATTTTTTCATAATTTCACTTTTCCATCCATGCTAAAAAAAATAAATTAATTTTTGTTTATTTTCATCTCTCTTATCAAACATAAAGGAGAATAACTGAATAAGGATCCCTATCATAAATGATAGAAAACATATTCCTTATATTTTTTATCTTTTTATTTTTTATCCACTCTACCAAACACAATAAGGGATGTAAAGATAAATAATATATATTTTAATACACATAATTAACTTTTTATTTATTTTTTTCCTAATTTTTGAGAGATGGATTTTGTTGAGTTGAAAGGAATTTTAATCCTTTCACTTTTTTATCTTTCTCATTTTTTTTTTACTAAATATAATGTTTTATTTATTTTTATAACTTTTTAATATAGTCTTCTATTTTTTCCTCTTTTTTGCTTTTTCATCATGTCATACCAAGCAAAGTTTAAGATAAATTATATGAAATTACTATTTTATTATGTCGCTCGTAAGCTTAACAGACACAGCCCCTAGGCACAGGCATTTAACTTGGAAATGTTAGTGTCTATATATCGTTATCTGATATGTAAGTTTGAGGTGTAGTTTAGTTATCTTATTACTTCTTTCTTATAGATACCAAGCCATCTTTTTTTCAAATTTTTATGGTTTGTAGTTTGATAACACAGCAAAATTATGTTCACCTGAAAATCTGCTCAGCAACAACATATTAACCATGGTTCAATCATGATCCAAATTGTTAGAATTTCGTAGACGTCTCGGTTTAAGAAAGAAAAAAAAAACAAAAACAATGCTCTTGGTTTAGGTTTTTTTTTCCTGGAACTTGTTAAGTGCTTTTAGGTAGTATAGGCCTCTATGATTTCAGAGCAAAGGGCTAGGTATTTTTTTTCCTTCGGAGAAAACAAAGTAAAAGATTAGGGCTAATTTGACATTTATCACAACAACATTGCCAACACGACACGGGGACCTCTATTGGAGAGGTGTTGCTTTTCACTAGCTGTGGACCTCGTTGTGGCCTTTTCTTTTAGCTAATGGGTGGTGGACATGGTTCGGATTTGGTGGTTGGTGGGGATGGGCTTTAATAGTGGTTGTAGAGCTAGAGACCATTTTTGGATTTCGGCAGTAGGTAGTAGTGATGGACTTCACTGATGGTTGCAAAGATGGGGCCCGGGTTGGTTCAAAATAGTGGGTTTCAGGGGAGCAAGGGTGGTGGTTTCCTTGATGGGTTGGCCGGCACATTTTGAATCGTTGGAGGGCCTCAGTGGAGGACGGTGTGGGCATTGAGGAGTGGCCTTGCGCTCTCCGGTACTGGGAAAGATTATAAATTATGAAATTTGTAAGTAACATAACCCTAGAGTTGATAATTAAATCGAGTTATTCGAGTTTTGTTTAGTTCTGACTTATTTGGGATTCGACTCATTTTTTAAACATGTCGAACTTGTATAATTTTTTAGACACATTTAAAAATTGAGTTTAATAACTTTGGCTCAAACTCAACCGGTTCGACTTGGTGGTGTAAATATTTGAATTCAGTTTACATTTTCTTCTTTTTAAGTCTGATCTATTTTTTAAACGAGTTAAACTTGAATAAATTTTTGACAGATTTAATTTGGACTCGTTCGAATTCGTTCAATATCCAGCGCCTTGGTCCGGCATGTGGCCCCACATGCTGGCGTCTGCTCATAGTTCAAGTGGTTACGACGTTACGTCATTGTTAAACGGTGTCTTATTTGTCCCGTCGTCTAACAAATCTGTGGGTCCTTCTCGCAAAGCATTTGCGATTAGCTCGTTGTGGGGCCGGTCGAGATTACGTTTCTCTCGGGCGAGATCAGTATCTAATCTCCCTGATTACGTCTTGGGGAAAATTATAGTAACTTCCCCTATATTTTCTAACTATCGTATGGGGGAATTCTTGTAATTTGTAAAAAAAAAAATGCATTTTTTTCTAGCTTGGATTTCTTTGCCCCTTTCCGCCACTGTTTTTGCAACCCCATTCTAAGCTTGTAATTTGATCTGCCCAATCTAAACCTAGCTCATAGCCAAGGTTTGTAAGACTCGAATTTGGTAAGAATACACAAGCCCAATTTGATTTAAATTTGAACACCACTCAAGTTTGGGTCTCAATTCCTAGGGATTCAACTCAAATTCGGGCACATGGATTCCATTGAGATGAAGTAGAATTTCAATTCGAATTGAACTTGAATTCCATAATTGTTTAACTCTAGAGTCGAAGCCAATTGCAACCCTAATTAAATTTTTGCGATATGTTTGAACCTTAATGCTTCACCAAAAAAAAAAAAACCATAGTGCTTCCAGTTCAAGAAGAAAACTCTAATGCTTTTGCCAAGTTTTTCTCCTAAATAAACATTTGTTACGTCGAAAGCACGACACTCTGGGAATGATGCTGTTTGACTCTTGTAATAAAGGCATTCCGTTCAAGGAGTTGCTTTCGGTCTTTAAATGTTTGAGCGAGTCCAAACTCGTGCATTGATTTTTCTCCAATAAAAATGACGTGTTTCACATGTAGTTTATACGAATTTGATTGTAAGAAGTATAAAGGGGTAAAAGCGCAATGGGCGGACTCAGAAATTATGTCTAGGACGGGCACTTTATTAAAAAAATTTAATTTTTTTTCTTCTAATCAATAAAAATAAAATAATATATTTAAATTTACTATATTGTATTCAATTCGATACTTAAAAATTCATAAATTATGAAAAAGGTGAAACTATGATAAATATAGCATACATAAATAAAAACAAACAAAAAATAGAGGCTAATTATACCCTTTCATAACAAATAAAATAAACTGCATAAAAGATATTAGAATATTTCTCCATATATATGATCATATCATTAGTCATTGATCACTCATTTAATTAAACAACCTAGTTGCCATAATCTCTATAATTTTTTTTTTAATTGAAATCTCTATAGTTTAAAAAAAATGAGTTTGACATGTCAAAAATTTATATAGATGTATCCCTAAAGTGTCCAAATTGTGTCAAAAAAATCATAATTATTTAGGTACGGAANGAGTTGATAATTAAATCGAGTTATTCGAGTTTTGTTTAGTTCTGACTTATTTGGGATTCGACTCATTTTTTAAACATGTCGAACTTGTATAATTTTTTAGACACATTTAAAAATTGAGTTTAATAACTTTGGCTCAAACTCAACCGGTTCGACTTGGTGGTGTAAATATTTGAATTCAGTTTACATTTTCTTCTTTTTAAGTCTGATCTATTTTTTAAACGAGTTAAACTTGAATAAATTTTTGACAGATTTAATTTGGACTCATTCGAATTCGTTCTATATC